AACCCCCCTTTGAAAAAATCCTGGATCCGCCCCTGCATTACCATCAGGGAACTATAGAAGTGACCGTTTTTTTCTACACCCTTTGTAACCGTTAATTTCAAAAAGTAAATGGCCACCTGGGCCGACGGATATCTTTCTTTTCGGAAAAAATTTTTTTTTAAAAATTCGATCTTCCGAATTTAAGTTTAATGTTGATTCCAAATCTGGAAAGAAAAATGGGGTGTCCCGAGCTTGTTTTCGAGATAATGAACATGAAATCGAAGCCTACGCGCGAGCTTTTGGAGAAAAAGTTGCGCCACCGTCCAAATTTAAGAAACTTGACGGGCCACGATACCAGAAGACAAGTATTACCATGCATTGCTATGACATTTGTTTTTCGATAAGAATTCATAAAATCGATTTTTATCCTCTTTAAATATAAAACTGGCTTCTCAATTTTACTGAATTTCCGTTGTTCAGTTTTGTGGCCCGTCAATTTGGATGCACACGCAACCTTGAGAAAACGGTCTATTAGGATTCATAAGATAATAGTTATTTGCAGACTCTATGATTGCACGAATGACGGGTAGTCGATCATTCTACAATGATAAGTGGATATTTTCGACAAAAAGACAGAGATACATTGATTTGTCAAACTTTGGGTGCTCTTAAAAAATCTCATAAAGTTCAACAGCTTTTTTTTCCTTCAAAATCTCACAAAGTCGATTTTCTGCTTATTCATCATTAATTCTTATATAGGATATAATATAAATATATAGAAAATCTTTTAGTAAACAGCAAGGCTCCCAGTTTGAAAAATGTTACGTCATCTATTTGTCTATCCTCTTATTGGTCATAGCTATCAGCCACTCGGAATGTAGTCTTTATCTCTGACTTTTTGCTTAAATATAGTGTTAGTGCATTTTACCCTTAAAACGTTGGCATACTGCAGCTGAGAGAAAAAAGATTTTATCCGAACATGGTTCATAGTCGTGCAAGGTCCCTATGACCCTATGCGTTATTAAAATTGCAACCATGTTTTCAGACTTTACAAGATAATATCTCAGAAACTAGAATGGTGACCCGCATCCTCCCTTAAAAACCAAACTACTATAGAAACCTGCGATATATATCAAAATGGAAAATTGTAACATTACATTCAAATTAATTGCACCTCAAGGAATCAAGAAGTAAGTGTATGCCTAGTTCCATTAAATTAGATTTTCAATTACTCCCCCTCCCTAGAACAAGATGATTATAAAAGTTAACTGAAAACACTATCCACTGAGATTTATCCTTATTATCATCTATCCGCTTTCACTTACTAGTTATTTTTGCCTTTAATTTCATTTCCCTATAGATCGGAGAACATCAGATATGTGTATGCGTGCGCAAGCGACCTCTGTCCAAGAAAGGTAAAACTACAAAACAAAAGAATTTTAATTTTAGCTAATAAATCAGTTGATTATTTTGAAAGCAAGTTTTTTCTGTTTACAGAAATAAACAAAAAGGAAATAGATATGTGTACGATTCCTGATACAGACATCTGTGTGGTAAGATAACATTTAATAATAGTAGAATACTTTTGTCGAATAGTTCAGCATTAAGCAGCGACATGGCAATCACTTACTAACCATTTTACCATCCACTTACTAGTCAGCAATTACCTTCCACACGCACCCACTTAACAAACGTTAGTGGCTACTTGCCAACCACTTGCAAATTACTTACCCTTACTAAAGAATATATAATATAATAAAAAATATAACTAAAGAATGATTTAGCAGTTGCATTTCCACAAAGTGGCTCTTCATCCACTGAAATTGACTTTTGCGGAGGGAGGAAAACTGGAAACTTTTATCTAATTGCAACACTCAAGGATAAAAATAACGGATGACAAGAGTCCATAACTAGTTGTGTCAATCCTGTATTTGGACCGTGACACATGTCTTTTGGGAGTGAGCTATTTTTAGACAGTGTGTGTCACACAGCCAACTTAAGGTGCGGTTTTGATGTCAGTTGTCTGTGCTTTGTATAGAAAATAAATTAGGATTGCAGAAGTCTCGTTCACTGAAACATGCACGATGCATTCTCGTTAGACAAGCATCTGTCAATTTCACTTAATTTGTTTCTCTGCCTCTTTCTTTTCTTGCTTAAGGTACTCTTAATAGCACAAAATCTTATAATCGAAACCTCAACAAAGTATTCATTTTCTGAAAGCTGAATAAATGTAAAAACTATTCGGCTTTTTTCCTTTTTGTAAAATATATTTATCCTTTTAAAATAGAGCGAATTATTTAAATTTTCACCGTGGCATCTTCGCGGCGGTTCGATGACAGCCGGTAATGATCGGAAACCAATGCTTATTACCTTTCCGAGATCACAAGACATTACTTGTCAAAAGTGTGTCTCCGATTTTTGATTAGTTGCCCCGTTGCTTTTTTATACGCTCTTAAAGTTATGACGCTGCTATATCACCGGTATGCAAGCCAAAATCCACGATAACTTTGGAAATAAACAAAAAATAAAAAATCGGCGACACACTTTTGAAGAACAACTATCCAAGAAGACTTCCTCAAAATTTCAGTTAAATCGGTCAAATTCCCTTTGACATCGGACTCAAAAGGTACGGGTAACTGAACGCAAAATCACTTCCGAGAAAAACGCAAAAATGTTTCTGATTGAGCGGAAGCGCCTTTGTTGACACAAACCGTATTTTTTTTATTACTCGCTATTAAAAATAACTATCGAAATTTTTTGGGGGGAAAATCGAAGAATATTACATATTTTATCGCAAAATGTGAAAATGTACAAATCGATACTTTTGAGCAATTTTGGAGTATACCTTAAGTAAATCTTACCTAAGAGAGGCACCGCCATGTGGATGGTTTTAGGTGTCCATGTTTCTCATTAGCTAGAATAGCTTATTTCCTTATTTCCTATACCGAAAGACATAGGTCGTTTTAAATAGGGGAAGATGGACACTTCTAGATCTAATTATTACAGCCTTCTGCGCCGGCTAGACTGATTGCAGTCCCTCTATTTCCTCTATTACCAACCAACTACTATCATTGGCCACTTGACACCACTTTCCAACCGTTACTGGCATTTGACACTGCTTTCCAGCCGTAACTGGCCACTTGTCAGCATTTACCATTCCTTCCCAAGCACTTGCAATTCACAAAATTCACATTGCAGATTGCTTATGATGTTTTCAGGTACATGAATGTAAACTTAAGGTTGATCTAACCAAGTACTTAGAGAACCACAAGTTTTGGTAAGTTATGGAAGTGTACAGGGAGAATAGTGATGATTCCCAAAATATCATTATTTAGTTAGAAATGACATAAGTTCTTGTTACTGTTACATAATTTTAAGTTTTCTTGTCTTGCTTCATTTTCATTTAGGTTCGATTATGCATTTGATGAGCATGCAACAAATGAAATGGTTTATAGGTAAGTATACGTAGATATATAGATATGGTTAAAAGACCACAAATTGTCATGCATCTAAAATTTCCTCTCCGGCGAAGATGCGATATTTTTTCTTTCACTTGTGAAGATATGAACTTTGGCATTCTTTTCAAAAGAATGGCAAAGTCGAGAGTCTCGTATCACCATTGTCACTTCTATCTTTCCTATCTAGTGAATGCTTATAATTTCATCTTCTTGTTTTGTCTCTCATTTAAGCTCATCCACTAGTAGATCAGCTAAGCGTTAGGTGCTTGTTCGGTGGGATGAGGGGCCTTGCACATAAAGTCGCGGTAAACATGGCAACCCTATCACAACTCACCGTACACCTGTCACACTGACGATCTGGTCAGGGTAATGCTTTCCTTTATATACCTACCATATGGAGGGTGGGAAACACCAAGTATATGGCCTTTAGAATCAATCTCTTACCCAGAGCCTTTATTCCTTTACCTTTTTAAGAAAAGAAAGTCTCGAAGAATTTTCCCTCAAATGCCCCAGGTATCTCGTTTGAAGACTTCGTGTACAAGAAAGGGGAAAAAAATGCAAGTCAGACAAAAATTGTTTCGGAACTCATCCTTGGAATCAGGATCTCATTTATATCTTGTGGAATGACAAATAATGAACAAAATATCACAGTCTTAAGCTTAAGTCTGTTGTCCTGACCTTAAGTCTGCTCAAAATACAAAGGTGATTTGCATAGATTTTTGCCACGACTATCAATATTATTGCCCCAAAACAGCATCGTTTACCATAATGATCAATGAGAAATATTCTTTCAAAGACCATGGACATGTTTAACAGGGTCTACAGATTTATCTGCTTGCTTTCGATCTCCAATCAAAGTCAAACTGAAACGCTGGGGGTCATTGAAAGTATGAACATTCTGAAGCACGTGTTACACTGGCGTGTCCGCCATCTTGTTTTCCAACACAGGCGGGAGTTTTGGCGCATGCGAAGCGGTTTTTGAGTTGCGTCCAATATGCCATCAATAGCGTTGATCGATATCGAGGTGACTACTGATCCTTAATTAGCTTGGGGCTTGATAATGACTGGACTGGGCGTTTAGTGGAAATTTATTTCAGTCGGTCACCAATACTGAAGTGGCAAAACTAATTCAGTAACTTGTTTGTTCAAGGGCGTTATAGGACAGGCGGATTGGGTTATAAATATGTTTTTTTTATTTCAGTTATTCGTAGATTTCGAATTGAATTGATATCGAATTAGTATATGATGGGTGGCGTAGTAGTTTAACGATCGTCTCTCACCGCTGTGGTCCGGGTTCGAGCACCAGCTCAGACCTGATTATTCGTGAATTAAGTACTGTTTAATAAACGAGCAGGAGTGTTTTATCGGGTATAAAACACGAGGCGTAGACGAGTGGTTTTAGACCCGATAAAACACGATCTGCGAGTTTATTAAACGGCTTAAAAAACTCCTGATGTATGTTCTCATACTGTACCGAATTCTTTACGAAATGAACCAAGTTTGATAGAGAAAATCCGAGTTAAAGTTTATGCAAATGAAGACGAATCTATATCAGATATAAAACCTCCTTCATGGTCATGATTTCTATTGTGTATCATTCATGAATTATTAATGAGTTTTTTAAATTTGTTTGATGTGATGTTTTCTCCTTTTCGACGAATCTACTAAACGCGTGCACATGGACAAGACACGTTTTCCCAACACCTTGGGACCTGCCTAATCTTGATACCATACATTGACCATTGCAGAATGTGTCAATATTAAGGAATGGGGAGTAAGAAGTGGGAACTGCATCTGTACTGCCACTGCCCTTGAAATGAGGCATTGTTTTCGGCCTTCGTTAGGGGGGAAGGTCTAAGGTTTGACAAGGATGTGGTAAACCCCGGAACTTTGGTAAGAATTGGGAAAGAAGGTATGAGTTAAGATTAGAAGAATGAGAACTGCCCTTGAAATGAGGCATTGCTTTCGGCCTCCAATAGGGGGGAAAGGCTAAGGTTTGACAAGGATGTGGTAAACCCCGGAACTTTGGTAAGAATTGGAGAATGAGAACTATGAAAGCTTGGAAAGTTAAAAAGAGGTTAATAAATATTGGGAGAAAAGTTTTGGAAATGATTAAGATATGGGGAATGAGTTTGAAGGGTTTTGAGACGGATAAATGAGGCCGGACAGCAAAACGAACAAATCTATGGAACTGCTCTGTTACTGGAACATTAGACCATAATTTCCAATTCTTAATCATCCATCCATGGGGCAATAGTCAGTTTGCTTCGAAGTAATTTTGAATCGTAATTTCCTATTCCTTCTAGATACACTGCAAGACCGCTTGTGGAAACGATATTCAACCAAGGGATGGCAACATGTTTTGCCTATGGACAGACAGGCAGCGGAAAAACTCATGTAAGTAAAGACAACAGAAAATTGAAGAAGTCATTGTGTGTGTATACGTCGATAGATAAATAATTACACCCGAACAAACATACAAGGATTTCTTTAGGTCCGCTCCTCTCAGCTCATAAGAATATTAGAAAAATTCATTAGCATGTAAAACTGTCTGATACTCTGGGGTCGAGAAGTTATTTATTCTCGCCCCGGCATTTGCTGTTTTGAAGGGATATCGCAAGAAGAAATAAAAAGGTTCATTTACTACCAATGGATTCGTGTTTAGGTGCAAGCACTGAAAAAAATCTTATACGGAAGTTAGGACAAATTATTATAAGAACCCATCCGATAGTGACTTGTATATACAGGTTTGATAAATATCGAAGACGAAGCGTTCCTTGAATAGAAACTTAAACCTAGAGTATTTTCATAACAATACTTGTATTAGCTAGATTGATGCTTCATTAACTCGAAATGTACAGTTACCACTTTTTCTACGAGTGAAACCCATGTATTTTTTWAAAAATTATCAGACTGAGTTTCTTTTTAATGTAGCCTTGTGGAAAAAAATTTGTAGAGTCCCTTGCAAAATTTAAGGGTTTTGCCCTGTTGAAGTTTAAAACGTCTATGGTTCCTCAATAAAATTCTGGAGGCATTCGCAGTTTTAGTGCGCGCGCACATCGTGGGCTCAAATAATGTCGTCGATGTCGTTGCGTAGGAGCGTGCGCAGTAGCTTCATTTTTCTATAGTAGGTAGCCACCTTAAAGAGCAAATATTATGCCGATTTCATTTATATTTGGGATAAAACTCTTTTATCAAAGTGTGTCTGGGTTTGTTTTTTTTTTTTGTTTTTGTTTTTGTTTTTGTTTTTTTTCTTTCGGCGCTTCTTTGTATCTTATTTAATTTTAAAGTTAGAGCTGCGTGTTTTTAAGTGCATTCTTTAGAAAATGGCAAATATTTCACAAGAGGAAAAAAATAAAAACACTTTGATAGATATCTGTGAAATAAGATGCGAAAAAATTGATCCGTATACGTTAACCAGAGTTTAAAAAAACCATCTGGCGTTGAGTGATTTTTTTCAAAATTGAATGAGTTTATCTCAAAAAATTGCAATATACTTTTCTTAAAGCCTTAGAAAATGTTTACTTTATGGCGAATTTGATGAAACGGAGTAGTAAGCTTTTTTTGACCCATAAGGATGAGAGGTTTTCTTTCCTTGGTGGGCATCTTCTAGGTTCATCTCAGTATCTATTAACATATCGTTTACTTCCTATTAATCTAACTGCATCAGCTGCTCATTTCTCTTCCTGCCTGAAGAGTAACTTATCTATGATGGATGGTATTGTCTTGTAAAATTTAATTAGGGATGTGATTCTTCTGTATTCTGATGTTTTGGGTTCCTTTCCTCAGTATCATCATCATCGTCATCCAGATATTATCAGATATTATTATTATATCTTAACTATTTTCGTACTTTCAGACGATGGGTGGTACATTTACTGGTAAACAGCAAGATTCATCAAATGGTATTTATGCCATGGCAGGTGAGCATGAGTGCAAGTAAGAGTATCGTACAGTCGAGGAGGCATTAGTTTGCGCACATTTTGCATACACCTATTTCAAAAAACGTCGGTTGGATATCTGAAATCAGAAATCTTGGACCGATTAGAAGTGTGGAGGACTGAGTGTTTTCTCGTCAAAAATTCAACATACACTTACCTAGATAGTTTGCCAGCGCAGGTCATCGCTCAATGTTAGTATATCAAGATATTAACTTTTTGCAAGCTACTAGAGAGTACAAACACTAAAAGTGTGCAACACTTTGCACTATTTAGTAGTAAATAGTGCTAATTAAGCWATAGAAAACAATAGGATTAGCATAATTTAGCAGTATTTAGTGTTTGGCTGTGTTTTCACTAGAAATGTTAACTTGCGTAAAATTCCTGGAGGTGTTTTAATCCGACAACCACCTTTCAAGAATAACACTGTGATTGGCCCATTTATTTGGTAGGACAACTTAAACCATCTTGCTAGGTAGTTTAAATTTGCCGTATTTCCGGTGTCGTAATTAAGCTAGTTTAAATTGTCCTAGTGAAAACACAGCCTTTATGTTACACACTTATAGTGTTTGTACTCTAATTAAAAACCACAAACAATTTACACCTTACAACCCACAATTCCATTCGGTCTCAGATTTCAGATCTCCGACCAACAACGTTTTTTGAAACAGGTGTATTAGTCATTGCATAAAGGCCTGTAATTCTAAAAAATCTATTTGCTCCATTTAGCACAAGATGTTTTCAAGCTACTCAAACACCCCAAACACAAGAACAAAGACTTGGTGATCTCTTGTAGTTATTTCGAGATTTATGGAAGCAAGGTAGCAATTCAACAGAATTGTATTAATGTTGTAAATCGTCTGAAGCCAGATTTTCACTCCTACGTAGATGGAAGCAGAGTATGGGTAAAAATAGCAAGTGAAAATCGCTCCTCTTCAGCGGAAGCGGAATCAGAAAACTCGATTTGATATTTCTTTTTTCACGAAAACCGTTTACTACTTTCTTAGCTTGTATCAATTACTTATTTGCTTGGAGGACGAAGAAATTTAATAAATCAAAATAGTAGAAAGGTCTTTTGATGTTATAGTCAAAAACTGAATAGAACATTCTAGTATTCCAATGCTAACGCTTTTCTGACACAGATTCCCACTTCGTTTTATGGTTTTCACTTCGTCAATGGTGCATCTGACCAATGTCAATCTAGTCGCAAGTGTAAACCAGTCTTAATGCCCCATCACTATCATAGAGCGGCTTTCAAGTGCATAAGTGCATTTGATCTGCGCAAAAATCAAGGGGAAAACGTTTTGAATCTTTTTTTTTTTTTTGTTTGTTTGTTTCTTTTTGGTTTGTATTTCTTATAAGTATTTTCGTTTAAGTGGATCTGTTAGTCCTGCAGATTTTTTTAATTAATTGTTTGTTATCTTTTCATTGGTTTCTAGGTGTTTGATTTACTGAATAAACGAAAGAAACTAAGAGTATTAGAAGATGGTAACCAACAAGTACAGGTAACTTGACTTATTTATGGAGAAATTCTTGAGGCTATCACCATTCCCCCCTACCCCCTGCCACGGAAATATCATACAACAACATTTGCAATGTACGGTTTCCAATTTTGGTACATGGTCGTTTTGAAGCTAACAGCCGCGTGTTGATATATTACATTAATAACGCCGATTTAAGCTCAATGACATTCTCTGCAAACGAATGTTAATAAAGTAGTCAAGTAATATTTTTCAATTGATTTTACCTGGTTATAATAATGACTTGCCGATGAATCGGAAAACCCGAATGTTTCCTATTCTTATGAAGTTATCTTTATAATATGGTAGAGACTAGATAAACTAGTTAACCGCGTCGGTGTTTGGAATCGAACAGTAGGAGAATTGATTTAACTTAATACACCGTATGGTTTGTGATGTTTAGAAACTGACGTTTCGGACGTTAGTCCTTCGTCGGAGTAAATGTAAAGTGATGGAGGTGGAGATGTGTATATATAGAGAACGTGGAAGGTGAATAACCAATGAGAGATAAGTAAGCGGAAAAACAAAAGAAAACAAGAGGATTAAAAGTAACAATAGACTAATTAAAGGCGAAGCGCTCGTTCATGCCAGAGATAGAATGATCGGGAGAATTAAAATGGCGGGAAACTGGTTTGGAAAGATCATTAGTCCGAATATTATAGAGATGATCCCTTATGCGGTCATCTAAACGGCGTCCAGTTTCACCGATGTATAACTGATTACAATTAGAATATTGAATGCAATAAATAACGTTAGATGTGGTACAATCAAAATGGTCAGTGATGGTAAAAGTAGATTTGGGACCTAAGCGTATGCTTAGGATGCGATGAAGAGTATACTGCTGAAAAATTTGCTCTTCAATGAAACCCACAAATAAATTGGCGTAACTAGGACCCATTTTAGTGCCCATAGCCATACTGTTCCCAAGCCTGAACTTTTTGGTCGTTACATCGACGATTGCATTGGTGCTACATCTTGTAGTAAATGTGATCTTGAGGCTTTTATCTCTTATGTTAACTCTTTTCATCCTTCACTTGAATTCACTTCGGGAATTAGTGAAACCTCCATATCTTTTTTGGATATCTCTATCAGTATCACCGCTAACCAGCTCAGTACTAGCGTGCATTACAAACCTACCGATTCTCATTCCTATTTATTGTACTCTTCATCGCATCCTAAGCACACGCTCAATTCTATTCCCTTTTCACAGTTTCTGCGTTTACGTCGCCTTTGTAGTGACGACATTGATTTCTCTAACAGATGCCGTGAAATGSGTTCTTTTTTTTATTGATCGTAAGTACTCGACATCTAGATCACCCAAGGGTGCTGAAACAGCTTGCCACAGTTGTTGCACCGATACTTACAGTCATCTTTAACAAATCGCTACATTCTGGTGAAGTACCCGAGGACTGGAGGAAGGCAAATGTCGCTCCAATCTTTAAGAAAGGTGAACGTTACAATGCAGAAAACTACCGTCCCATCTCACTTACCTGCATTGCATCAAAGATCATGGAACACATAGTAACAAAACACTTAATCAAACATCTGGATTCAAACAACATACTTTACAAACTACAACATGGATTTAGGACGAAGCGTTCAACCGAAATCCAACTTTTGACATTTGTTCAAGACCTGTACAAAAACCTCAGAGAAAACAAGCAAACCGATGTTATAGTTATGGACTTTGCCAAAGCATTTGACAAGGTACCCCACAAGAAGCTAATACGCAAGCTCAGAGAATATGGAATCAACAGTTACATCAACCAATGGATAGAGGGTTTCTTACATCAGCGACAGAAAAGAATAGTATGTGAAGGGCAAATGTCGTCCTGGGCCCCAGTAACAAGCGGTGTGCCCCAAGGATCCGTGGTTGAACCGATACTATTTTTAATATATATCAACGATCTTCCAGCTAAACTACAGTCCAAAGTTCGACTATTTGCGGATGATACTATTGTGTATATGACTGTGACTAACGAAACCGATGCTGCCACCTTACAGAAAGATCTTAAACTTCTTGAAGAATGGGAAAATAAGTCGCAGATGTCTTTCCACCCTGACAAGTGTAATGTGCTTCGAGTCACACCGCGTAGAAAGCCTCTCATCTATGATTACGTTCTACACAACCAGACCCTTAAGGAAAAAGACGCAGTTAAGTACCTTGGTGTCACTGTACATCATAAGCTCTCTTGGAATGAACATATATGCTCTGTAGTCAAGAAAGCAAATTCATCCATAGGCTTTCTGAGGCGGAACTTGCAAATTCACCAAAAACACATCAAAGGTAACGCATACAAAACCCTTGTTCGTCCTCAAATTGAGTATGCGTCTACTGTGTGGGACCCATTCACCCAAGTGAACCAAAATAAGATCGAAATGGTACAGAGAAGAGCAGCCAGATTTGCTTGTAACAACTACAGCCGTGAAGCAAGTGTCACCGCGATGTTGGAAGAGCTTGGTTGGCGCAGTCTTAAGCAGCGCAGAGCTGATCAGAGATTAGTCATGCTGTACAAAATTATAAACAACTTAGTTGATGTAGATCTCTGTAATGAACTGATACCCTTGACAAGAAACTCAAGAAATAATCACAACAGATCCTTTAAAATTCCTCTCGAGAAAAAAACATATACAATACAGCTTTCTACCATGGACAATAAAACAATGGAACAATCTACCCGCTGAATTAGTCACAGTCCCAAATTTTAATGCATTTAAAAGTGGGGTCTGTAAATTAGAACACTAACTTTGATCCTGACCTACCCGAGCACTTAAGCCTCGAAGAGAGGGCGTGCTTGTAATTTGGTAAATGTAAATGTAAATATCGTTGATCGTGCTTTGCAGAAGGCATCTTCTATTGACCGTACCACAGCTCTCACACCTAAAACTCGCTCTATTAATAATCGTATTCCGTTTGTTACTACTTTTCATCCTATCAATAATTCCATTAAACCCATTATAAACCGCAATTTTAATTTACTCAAATCAGATTCCACGACGTCTAATATTTTCAGTGAACGCCCCCTTTTCTCCTTCAAAAGAGATCGTAACCTTCGTGCTTTCCTAGTTAAAGGAACTCTTCCCTCTGATAAAGAACCTGGCACCTTTCGTTGTTCTCGTAAACGTTGCAACACTTGTCCTTTCATCGCTCTTCGCACTTCTGTCACAGGTCCTAAATCTACTTTTACCATCACTGACCATTTTGATTGTACCACATCTAACGTTATTTATTGCATTCAATATTCTAATTATAATCAGTTATACATCGGTGAAACTGGACGCCGTTCAGGTGACCGCATAAGGAATCATCTCTATAATATTCGGACTAATGATCTTTCCAAACCAGTTTCCCGCCATTTTAATTCTCCCGATCATTCTATCTCTGACTTTGTTGTTTTTGGCTTATCTTTAATTACCGGCGGCAATCATTGTCGCAAAACTAAAGAAATGAGGCTTATTCACACCTTAGGTACGCACAACCCTCTTGGCATGAACGAGCGCTTCGCCTTTAATTAGTCTATTGTTACTTTTAATCCTCTTGTTTTCTTTTGTYTTTCCGCTTACTTATCTCTCATTGGTTATTCACCTTCCACGTTCTCTATATATACACATCTCCACCTCCATCACTTTACATTTACTCCGACGAAGGACTAACGTCCGAAACGTCAGTTTCTAAACATCACAAACCATACGGTGTATTAAGTTAAATCAATTCTCCTACTGTATCTTTATAATATATTAGTTCTGTATAATATGAAGTTTAGCGTTTCAATATAGTCTTGTAAAATGGTAACTGCACCAGACCTCGCTATTTATAATTTTCGGCTTGGGAGTAATTTTCCCCATTTCAGACCACGTGTCATCCTCTTGCGAATAACATTCTTTGTTTGAGTTGTATCAAGCTCCAAAAAACCCCGGCTTTCCATTTGAATTATTTGCACGACCTCACGAAAAGTCAAATCACTCTTCTTTACTGTACATTTACTATTGGACTTTTATAAGGTTTGTGAGCTGGAAGAAAATGTCGTCCACTCTGTTCATGACGTTCTCAAACTCATTGACCTTGGTAATAAACTCAGGTGTGTAAAATACCCAGCAATTTTCAAGTTAATATGCTGTTCTTATTCTTTTATCATTGTTCTGTTTGTAGATTTCCCTACTTTTAAATCTTGCCCTTTATCTCTGATCTTAACAGAACATCAGGCCAAACGTCTGCTAATCAGAATTCATCGCGGTCTCACGCAGTCTTTCAGATTGTTTTAAGGAAAAGGTAAGTATGAAAGGAAACGGATTACAAATCAGCAGTACAGCTCGCTAGCTAAATAATATCATCAGAGTACATTTTTATCTGGCGTTTTTGTGATCCGGCTCAGACAATAGCTAACCAATCATCGCTGCATCAGTTTTCTCAGTGAAATTGAAATTTTGTCCCACAAACAACTACACAGTGTTTGTTTCCAAGAGTGCTACAAGGATTACAAGGCAATATTCATTTATAAATATTCATTTTTCAATATTCAGGACATGAACTTGTGGAACATGTAACTAAGGGGAGTCTGAAGTATGAATTGTTATTCACACAAACATATAGTACGAAAATATCGTTTTTAGGAAGGGGAGGGGAGGGGGGTTCTTCCCAAACTAAACTAGAATAGAAGTAGAACTTTAGCGTTTCTGGTCCTTGAATAAGTTGATTAGATAGCCAAAATATAAAAGAAATAGACGATAATGACTCTTATGAAGTTTGTATTCTCTTGAATTAAGGGGCTACAGAAAAGATGGCGGTGGAGGTCATCTGTACGGGAAGTTCTCGCTTATCGACCTAGCAGGTATGCAGAAATAGGGTGTTTTGAACACAGTACACAGGCCTCACAAGATTTTCATCTCCGTCCTCACTTTTACGTACCTTTTTGAGCATTCGTCTCAGCAGTACTTGAAACGTTTGTCTATGACTTAGAAAGATGCGTGTTCACGGATCAACGTTTGTAAATTGTTTTGAAAAATCTTAATTCAGTGTGAAATATTTCAAGTAATTATGAATCCTTACTTCAATTATAGTATTTTTAGCAAAATTGCTCTTAGCCTTTACTTCCTGTACGTATTTTCCCTTTCTTATTCCCTATTTTTACTTCTTTCTCTCCATTTTAGAAAAATACATTAGAAAATTCTATAAAAGAATAGTTATTTTGTATTTATTTGTTTATTTCCTGTATTTATTTATTTTTAATCGATTATAATTTTTTCTGTAAAGTTGTAATACCAGTTTTCTCGTACGCGTTGTTATTACTGTATTCTCCTCCTCTAGGTAATGAACGTGGCGCAGATACATCAACCTCTGATCGCCACACACGTTTAGAGGGTGCTGAAATCAATAAGAGCCTACTTGCATTAAAGGTCAGTCTTGATAGGCACACGTTAAAAGAAACTATACGGCCATTTGCCAGATAACGCGTCATTATTAAAGAAGTGCTTTCATCGCCGGGCTGGTTATAGCTAATCCGGTGGTTTCCCAATCAGGCGCATACGTGTTTATGCCCAACTAGCAAATCAGCTTCGATCTTCACTAATAAGCAAAAACAAACAAAAGCTACCCAAAAGGCAATTTTTTTGAATATATTTTATAGCTTCTCGTTTGCATTAGGGCCATTTATATGGGTGGGGGGGGGGGGGGGGGGGGGGGGGGGGGGGGGGGGGAGCATAAGGATGAGCATAAGGTGCGTTTAGTTTTTTTGTCTTGGCTTACATGATTACTATAGGGTTCACAGTAATTGGTAAAAGCTCAAGGGAAAATGTTCAGTAATAGGATAACTAAAATAATATAAAATAATTGTCAACAACTTAATAAACCCAATAGTCTCTTTCACAGTTCCCTGCGCCATCTTGAAAGGTAGGCGTTCCTTTGCATCGAAGCAAGAGGCACGTCTCGCTTCGATGCAAAGGAACGCCTACCTTTCAAGATGGCGCAGGGAACTGTGAAAGAGACTATTAACACGCAAAGATCATGCCGGCTATAAACAGTTTATGTCACAAATTTCTTTTTAATGACATTCTCCGTCAAGAAAAACTCACCAAGCGAAGACTAGAGCGCAAATGGAGATCTACATGACTTGAGATCGACAAACAAAATTTGTTACCGAGAACACTGCATGATTTATAATTGACTACTTGATCAATTTAAATCGTCATACTTATCCGAGAAATTTAAGGAACTTGACTCTAAAGCATTTTTCAGAGAAGTCGACAAATTAGTTAATGGCAAGAAACCCAGAGTATTACCATCTTCACTCCAGAACAAAGAGCTTACTTCTGAATTTGCTGAGCACTTCAAGAAAAAGATCCGGAACCTGAGGTTGGAGACCTCTCCAGTCACTGACAACTACAATAGACTCTGACTCCTTAGATTCTTACCCTGATCCAGTTTGCTCTGTCCACCTATGTGAATTCACCTCACTTGATGCAGATGAAATACGTAAAATCATAATGAAATCTCCTACCAAATCGTGTACTCTGGATCCTATACCAACAGTGCTGTTAAAGCAATGCATAGATATCCTCCTTCCAGTCATTGTTACCATCATTAATAAATCTCAGGCTTTTTTGAATCTCACCTTTTTTAATCTAAAAAAATATTTGGGATTTCTTTTTGCGAGAGAATAAAACTCCTCCAGACATGCTTCATCATCCGGATTCAATTGGATATATCCGAGCATAGTTATTAAAAAATACTCTGAATTAAAATTAATCTAAACTTTCCATTGGACTTCAAGGCGTTAAGGATGATTATCAATATTTTATAGACATCGAACATTAATATTTTAAGTTAAGTGTATGGACTGGTATGGTTTTGTTAAATGAGCGACAAATGATAGATTTCATAACATAGAATTTGAAGAATTCCTTACCCCAAAGGACAAAGAGAGCTGTTGAGCTTGCTACAGAAAAGGGCGCATCTAATTGGCTGACGGTAATCCCCATCAAGGACATGGACTTCGATTTGAACAAAAGAGAATTCAGAGATGCTATCAAACTTAGATACGACTGGGAAATCTCTGACAGCCCATCGGTATGTGTGTGCGGGGATTTGTTTAATGTGGGCCATGCTATTATCTGTAGACGTGGCGGATTTGTTATTCAGCGCCACAACGAGCTGCGCGATCTTGAAGCAGAACTGTTGAGCATGGTCTGCAATGACGTTGAAATAGAACCAGTACTTCAAGAAGTTACAGGAG